TTAGATATCTGTCAGGGTCCTCTCAGTGTTTGATTAGCATTTCTCCTACATCCCTAAGTTCTTTTTATAGTTTATTTGTGTGCAATACTGAATCAAACTCTCACATTCTGCATCTAACTAATTGCATCATCATAGTATACTTAAGCATGTTTCTTTTCCTCTTCCTTTAAATTGGGTCTGAGATAATCAGGTTTTGACTCAGTTCAGCTTCAGTTTATGTATGTAGGAAAAGCATGGTATATACTATGTAGAGTTCAGCACAATCCATGGTTTCAGGCATCTCGCATCTCCTGGGGCTCTTTGAATGTACATCCCATGGATAAAGGGAAAGAACTATATTCAATTTTGCAAATTCTAGCTTTCATTAGTCTTTAAAGTTTTTTTTTTTTTCACAGACTATGAAGCTATCCTTAAATACAATTCACACAAGAAGGAATTGATATGATTTGTACTCTTTCCAGCTTTCAGAACTTGAGTTTATTCTCTAGCTACTTCCACAGGTGGACAGTGGTTTTAGATAGATGGACAGATGATAGAGTGAGATGCGGTGTTAGATGATAGAGAGAAACTCGCAGATTATATACTTAGCAATTGCAGTGACCCTTTTTCTTTCCAAATTGTTCCATCAGATCAACTCTTTTGCCATTTTGACATGATAATAATTGTTGATAGCTTTCTTATTTTTTCAGACAAAGCATGATTTCCAACCTCAGCCAATACTTCTCTTGCTCCAAATACGGATTCAATACAAACCCTTATTATTTTCAAGTGGATAATTGCACTTAAAAACCACTATCTTGCAGTGGGCTACTCCTAGCACTTTCAATGATCCAAATGTGAAAATCACATTAAAAAAATCGCTGAATAATGAATTTAGCCTGACTTTAATAACTCAAATTAAGATTGCAGAATTTTATATGTTTTTGAAATTTTATCTTACCTTCTACTATTGAAAAATGAACTTCTGTTCACAGTAATGTAATTATTTTTTTAATTTTTCTTGCTATGCATAATAATTTCATGGTAAAAATAGCAATATAATTTTTTTAAAAAGTTGTTCAATATATTATAAGATTTTTTTGCTATCCTTGTTTTTGTTTTTGCTTTGCTTTTCAGATATAATATATCCCACCATATATCACTAGTCAAAATATTGTTTTAACATCAAATGTGTTTAAATCTTTGAGTTCATAATAATACTAAAAATATTCTCAGCACTGGAAATTCTTCGTTAGTATTTTAGCTTGTTTATTTGATGAATTTAAGGAAAATTATCAAACATTTATCTTGTGTTTTCTACATAATCTTGTAGGTAAGGAAAATCAAATAATTAATGGGAGCTGTTTCATTTTATCAGGTAATCCCAGGCATAAACTAGGAAGGAATGATAGATAGAAGAAGATTAACCACTTACCAGCTGGTTTGTCTCTGGGCAGAGTACTTACAGATTATCAGCGCATTTAGAGTGTGTATACCTATAAATGCTTATTATCAAGCTTTTTCCTCAGATACTGCTCAGGAACTGAGCCAAAGTTTAAGCAAAAAGTATATTTAATCAATAGTGTAACTATGATAGTAAATGACCTCAGAATCCCATTGGCTTAGCAAAATAAAATTTCTTTTATGTTGACATCACATTGTACTAAGATGCTACTCTATGAAGTCAAGTCAGCACAGAGTTCAGCCTTATCCTAGAACTCTGCTTCTATTTTAGGTCCTTGGTATCACCTAGTTGATTTTGATTGCTTCGGTAATTTGCTTTGGTCAATGGGGTATCACCAAAACCCCACAAGACTTGCCCACTTGCTGCTCTAGGACCCTTTTCTATATAACTTGGCCTAATAGAGCATGTATGGGATCATAAAAGGAAAGCACAAAGCACTCAGCTTGCACCTGCAGACCTGTTGATCCAGGAGCTGGAAACAGATCCATGGGTGGCCCTAAGGAGTCATTTGAACCTGGCCAAGAATAGTCCAGCTACACACAGCCAGACCTTCTGACACTCAGAGCTATGGCATAGATAGTATTTTAAGTCTAATTTGGAGGGATTCTGTGTATATACATAGTAGTCGGTGAATGGAACATTGGGAATATAAATGACACATGATTAGCCAAATAATTTTAATTGTTGGCATTGCATTAATTTTCTGACTCTTTGTGTATGCATTATGTACGTAAAAGTTTTTGTGACATAAATTTAAGAAGAAAACACTGAATTTCAATATTGCTTGAAATGATTCCTGTTTAAATTTGTTTGCTTTCATTTTGTTCAATATTTAGAAATTGTTTTATTTACTTAATTAATTAAATGTCCATAATTTTGAAGTTAAAATATTAAATGCAAATTAAAATAAAAAGTAATAAACATGATATGTAGTTATAATAGTCAATATTGAACGAATGAAATTAAAAGTCATCAATTCTGTGTTGAAGGGAGATGTCCACTATAGATTTTTCATAATAAGCCTAGCAATTCATAAAGAAAATTGGAAAAAAATCCAGTAACCAAAATTTTAGAAAAATGAAGGAGGCAACATGACATGAAATGATGGAATAATAACAATAATAACATATTTACCCTGTACTTTCCTATATGCCATGCATGGAATCTCTTTAAATCCTTACCACAACCCTATAAGGTAGACTTTCTAGACCTAGGTAGCCAGATAAGAAAAATCAGTGCTTTGAGAGTTTATAGCTATCTGTTGTAATGAATCACTGCAAAACTTCCCAACTGAACACAAAACACGTTACCTTCTCACAGTTTCTCTGTGCTGGGAGCAGCTTAGTGAAATAGTTCTGACTCAGTCTTTCATGAAGCTATCCTCAAGATATCTGCTGGGACTGCAGTTATTTCCAGGTTTTACTGTGGGGATCTGTTTCAGCTCCTATGCATGTGACATTACGCAGAAGCACCCAATATTGCTGATGTGAACCTTTGTACAGGGCTACCTCATGACATGGCAACTGGCCTCTACCACACAGCAAGTGATCCAGTGGTATCCACCAATGAAACCATTGGATTTGTATAACCTAATCTTAGAAATGACATCATCTTGGTCATATTGTCTTTGTTAGAAGCAAGTCAATAAGTCCAGTCCACTGGAGGGAGGGCATGAGTTATGATTAAGATGTGAGAACCAGGACGAACCCATAATGGGCATCACCTTAGAAGATGCTTACCACAGGTGAAGTAGTTTGTCCAAGCTCCTGCATATAATCATTGGTAGCCACTCTCCCCATGCAAAACCATCCAGTTTGATTCCAGGGTTTACGTTCTTACTCATTAGGCCAGCACACACACTGGGGTTCACCCAACCTGAGACAGCAGCAACCCCTTCCCTGTGGTTGTCATCTGAGGGGTACAGTGTGGCTGGAGAAGGACCACCTGCAAAAGCTGACCTTCACGTGGGTGACACACACCCAAGTGTATCATCAAGTTTGTACAAAAAACAAATCTGATTGATAATATATTCAACTGGTAGGGGTTCAAGCTGTGACACTTCCAGATACCTCCTGCTTCTGAAAGTATGCAGGAATTCAAGAGAGAATTCCATGAGTATAAGCATAACCTTGACTTCACTCTAATTTATAAAAAGTCAAGTGCTCTCAGGCTTTAGAACTTCTGGTAATGAATTATTTGAGGCACCCTCACACTTGATTATGACAAAGTGCACTTTCATATCCTAGGGATGGGGCATTAGTCACAGGGGCAGGAGTTGGCTAAGGTGAGAAGTCTGCACTATATCTTCAGAGCTGTTGGGAGCTACTGAAGTGTTTTAAGCCTGGAAGGGTGACTTGATTGGATGTGTACCTGCTGCTCTGAGTTACGACATTCTCTTTGAGGCCTCAGAGGACACTACTTATTCTCATGCATGAGGCAGCAGATGCTGTCTTTATACCCCTCTGAATTCATTCATATTGGTTTAACAAAATTTGCATATTTGTCAGACCTGCAGATTGGTCAAAGCCCAGGATTCAGGCACACAAAAACTTCAGTGGCTGCCAGCCAGCTGATGAGGTTTCTGGGGCATACATTGATTGCATCACCTATGCTTCTGCCTTCTGACGGCAAACACACTATTGACACATATTAAGAACTCAGCAAATGCTTGTTAAGTCAAAATAGACTGCACTTGATTGTGCACCTGTTATATGTTAGCTGCTGTACTGAACTCTGGTGTGTAGCAATAAATGATCTTTCACTTTATTAGCAAAGAGATGTAACTGAACATATGCATTTTAAATGATTTATTCATCCATTTATTTGAAAGATGGGATAACAGAGACAGAGGTAGAGACAGAAAGATTTTGCATTAACTTGTTCACTCCTCAAATGGTCACAACAACCAGGGTTGGGCCAGGTCAAATCCAGGACCTATGAATTCCATTTGAGTCTCCTTATGGGGGCAGGAACTCAAGCACTTGAGCCACCATGTGCTGTTTCTCAGGAGCTTTAGCAGGCAGCTTGGATCAGAAGCAGAGTAGCTGGGACTCAAAACAGACATCCCAACCATCAGCTTAACCTGCTGCACCAAAACACCAGCATTTGAAAAGATTCACTCTTCAAATATCTGTTAAATCTCTTCTAAGTGTCATACTATGCTAGATGTTGAGCCACATTGTTAAATAACGCATGGTCACCACCCTTGTAGATCTTGTAACCCACTGGGGAGATAAAATAATATATTGATGACCCTAGATCAATATGATGTGAGACATAGAGAAAGCACGTTTAATTATGCAAAAGGAGGGTCATTGAAAAGGTAAGAGGAGACTTGAGGGTGATACGATCTGTAAACTGAGTTTAGAAGAATGAATGAGTAAAGAGGAATGGAAAAAGTATCTCTGTTATATATTGGGACACTGGTTTGTCAAGGCTTGGGGAGAACATCAGGAATAGAAAGAAAAGTGGGAAGCAAGTATGAGTTATTGTCTCGTGCACAAGGATATGCAGAACCAAGCAAAGTTTCCTCTCCACTGCCTTTGTGTCTTTTCAGCCATCTATGAGCAGTCCTGTGAGGTGTACAGGCATCAAGGGAACACAGCTGGATTCTTCTACATCGACTCAGATGGCAGCGGGCCGCTGGCACCTCTCCGAGTGTACTGCAACATTACTGGTAAGGGTGCAAATTCCCTCTCACACTTATCCTCACCAATTGATGGTATGAAGCAGAAGGCGACACCTCTCTGGCTAAAACTTGCAAGGATGGATTTCCTTAGGAATTAGCAGCTAGGATTTTTCCTGAATTAGAAAGAGAAGAAATCTTGTCATTGGTCTTGATTATGTTTTACTTAACTGATGTTTAATTATCAAGCATTTTCTGTAAGGCTTCCCATAGATCTTTCTCTTAAAATTCACAAAAAGAAAGAAAAGGAAAACAAACAAAAGACAAGACTAAAAATCAGTTGAAACCCACACAACAGAAGTCAGAAATCTTGATTCATGTCTGATATCAAGGACTATGTGAGTTGTGTAAGGGCTGCATTCTCCCTGAGCTTTAGCCACTCATCAGTGAAATGGGAAGAATGATTCCTAGTCCCTAGAGCAGTGGGGATTAAATGCAATCACTTGTATTGGAACAACTGGTCAGGCTGGCTAGTCAGAAGATAGATAACAAAAATGTGGGTGTCACCTTTTTTCCTGGGAACCTCACTGCAGCTTAGAACTGGTTTACAAAGTTCAGAAGTAAGAGGCAATTATTACATTGACTTAGAAAAAGCATATGGTCATGCATTTACTCTGAAATATTTTTCTACAAAGGCAAACCCTGATGTAATGGATATTTTTAAATCCAGTTATGCAAGAAATTCTAGCATTGTGAGCATCATTAATTGAGATATTTTTGTTTGTTTCAAGTGCTAGTCTTCAGAGATGCCAGCTGCATCACGTATCGAAGCAGTAAAGTAGGGGTCTCATTAAGTTTGTTGACTCCCCATGCCCCAGCTTCTCTGCATCATGGCAACCACATTGATGGAGCTCTTTATGTAGCCAGACACTGTCCTGGACACTAAGGATTACACAAAAATAAGACTTGCATCATGAGGCAGCAAAATCAGGAACACTACGAGGCAAAACCACAGAGATGAATACAGGCAGATAACTGCAAGAAATGGTGATTCAGGACGCTTAGCAAGTAACTGTTCATCACAATACAAAGGGCACATTTCTTCTGCAGAAGATGCTCCTTACCTGGAATTGAATGCATTTTGCTGCATTTCCATAAAATCTTGTTTCTCCCAAATGTATACGTATGCAGCTGGCTTTTCAACAGCCCCATAGCATAATTAAAAATGTGGTGACTGTTTTCTTTTCATGGTTGTGGTAAGCCATGGTGTTCAACAACCTGGTTAAGGTCTCCACTTCTGGGTGGATCTTGGTTATTCTCAAAACATAATTAACATGCTTATTCAAAAAATGCAGACTTTCCAGACCTAGGATTGCTAATTCAGTCATTGCACATTTACTGAGCTTTCCAAGTGAGTTTGTGCAAATTATCTTTGATTCTTGGTTTCCAAAAATTGGAGGAAGTCATTTGGCTGCAGAGTAAGACAAAGGAGATCAATGCCATCTGCTAGGTGGGCAGTTGTGACATGTGGTGAGAGGAGTTGTGTTATGGCTTAACAGGTGGGACTGATGGTGAGAGTGGGAGCATGATGGTTATCAATCACTGAGCACCCACAGTCTTTGGGGACTCAACTGGAAGTTGACAAATATCATCTCTTTTAGCCCTCACAATAAATATCTAAAGCAGATATTGCATATCTCCATTTTATATAAAATGAAGAAAATATGCTAATTTCTTTACTTGATCAAAGTAATAAATTCTGTGGCCACCCAACAAAACTCATGGACCAAGCAGACCTTTCTGTTTAAGCAATAACCTTTGGCACTGAGACATCATGTAGTTTTGTGTTGCACAGGTTTTGGTTTAAAGTGTTTTCATTATTATTATTCTTGTTGCAAAAGTAATCAGTACTAATCATAGAAAATTTGAAGAAAAAATAAAACCAGAAGCAATGCTAAAGCTGTTGGTTGTCTACAATCTTGAGGATGCCATTGTTATTATACTGCTAGAGATTTCTAAGTGCATTTCCTATAAATGTGTATTTTTTTACATACATTTATACATACATCAACCAAAACTTTTGGTTCCAGAGTCCAAATGTACTTTTACCCTATATCATTGAAATACATTTTGAAATTAAAATATATGCATTAAGGTACTTAGATTTTTTAAACTGTCAAAATGAATGCAAGGAGGATTGCTTAACAGGTTAAGCATGTCAGTTCATTTATGTGGAACCGTCTGCTTCGCGTTGTCAAGGATTTTCTCAGGGTTTGCATCCCATCATGTGGCTAGAAACAGCTAAACTGAAGGAGGGTAGGTGAATGTTGCTGAGTGGCTGATGGGATACTTCAGCAAGCAGTGCCTCTCGGTTTTGTCCTGAGTTAGCAGGGTTGATATGTATGCATTGGCAGTTCTTTGAAATTTGACTTTTTTGGTCATATGCATTTGCAAGATGTGGATGTTTTTATATTTTTCTGTTTCCCTTGAAATACCCATAAAAATAAAAGTGAAACTCTTTATAGGTTGAACTATCTACTTCTCATGTTTGATTGGCAAAAAGTTTTATAATACATAAATGTAATAAGAAATAAATCTGGATATTTTTTCAATCTAATATTTTATGTATTTTTGAGATAACATATTTTTAATTTAGATGGTTGTCAAAAGCTTAATGGCTCTACTAATAAAAAGCCAACAAATGAAAAGTAAGAAGTGCACAGTCCAGCAGGAAAATATGCACAAGCTATAAACAATAATCAAATGAAAAGATGTTCAACTTTTAGAATAGTCAAAAAATTAGTCATACTTCTATATAATTCCTATTAATTTGTTTGACAAATATATAAAACCAAGTTTGAAAAGACATTGTATTTACAACAAAACTGATATACATGGGTATTTGTTTCAGTTTTTCAAAACTTTTAGCTCTATAAATAAGGCAGACCATACAGCATTTGCCTTCTGCATGTGACTTACTGCCCTCAACATGATGTCCTCCAGCTTAAATGTTCAGCATTCTTAAATGAGAGTGATTGATGACACAATAAAAATATGATTAAATTGTCCAGAGAAGGGGGCATGGAAGAAGGAAGAGAGTGAAGGGAAGGGAGAGGGGCCAGTGTTGTGGTGCAACAGGTTAAGCTGTGGGAAATGGGCATCCCATAGCTGGGTCCCCATTTTTGTCCTGCCTGCTGTACTATCTATTCATCTCCCTGCTAACATGCCAGGGAAAGAAGCTAAAGGTAGCCCAGGTACTTGGGATTTGACACCTATGTGGGAAGTCCAGGTTGAGTTCTGGGCTTCTGGCATTGATTTGACCTAGACCTGGCTGCTGTTGTCATTTGGGGAGTGAACCAGTGAATACATCTCTTTTTTTCTGTGTCTTTCTGTCTCTGCCACTTTGCATTCAAATAAATAAATGAATTTTTAAATAAAAAAAAAAGTGGAGAAGGAATATTGTTGTGTTCTTTGCCTTGGTTTCTAAAAACAAAGTTGCTTTACTAAGCATGTTTCAGCAACATCCCTTGGGGAAATCCCATAAAGAGTGAAAATAGTTCAGGGAGATAAGGAGCCTGGATTTTCTTTCTGTGCCTTCTGAAGGTCAGCTGAGGGCATATGACCCATTTCCACATCTCCAAAGTGAGCTTCCAGGCAAGGTGGGTTCATAGTCTCATGCTCATTTAGGACTCACCAGGAGTTTCATGGGAATGTTTCTCCTCTAAGTTGACGGCAGACCCTTGCAGGTGGATGCAATGAGGCTGAACAGGGGCAGGTTCAGCAGTAGGAAACAGTGGCTCTGAATCTCACAGATTCTCTTTGCAGTGCCTCCTATAGAATGTTAGCTCCTCTCTCCATCTGAGCAGTGGGACGTCACCTGTCCTGGGAGAGTTACATCTCTGTGTCTCACCTGCATATCTCACCTGTCCTGGGTCAGTCGGGTCTTAGTGTCTCAGTGACTTGCAGGCCAATCTTGTAGAGGTGAGATTCTCAAATGCTCAAGAAACTGCCTATGGGAATATAATAGCAGCTCCCCAATTAGGGAAGTGGGCCAATTTATTGTGGCAATTATGCTTATTGACAAAAGGAACTGGGGCTAGACCACTACAAACTTTTGACTGTCTGTCATACCCAGAGCTATGAGAATTCTTCAAAATGTTTGGCAAACATGGAACTCAAAGAAGTTTATTTTTGAAATCCACACATATCTCCTTTGTAATACATATTTTCTATGAACTGCATTAAATGTATTTATTTATTTGTTTATTTGAGAGGCAGAAAGACAAAAACAGAGAGAGAGAGTTCCCATCCATGGTTCAATGCCCAAGTGCAAACAATGACTGGGGTTGAACAGAGTTAAAGCCAACAGCTAGAAACTCAATCCACATCTCCCACATGAGTAGCAAGGACCCACATACTTGCATCATCATCTGCTGCCTCCCAAAATCTACATTAAAAGCAGAAACAGAGCCTGACATTGAATGCAAGTATGGGATGTGGACATCTTAACCAGACATTTTAACGGCTATGTCAAATGCCACCTCTACTACTCCACCATGAACTTTTGAAAACCTCTCATTGGAATGGATTTAAACACTTTTCTATCAGAATGAACTTATTTTAAATTCCATTTTCCACTAACTTCTGAAGTACACTGTTATGCTTAAGTTGCTTTACCACAGGACTAGTGGATGGAAAGGGGGAATTATCTAGTGTTTGTATAGAGACCTGAGTGATGTGATGGATGAGGAAAAGGGAGAGGACATGTCCACAGGAGTATACATGTGACTGACTTTTAATTACTTATCAATGATTTACTCTTCAGTTTGGCTTAATGTCATTTTAATCAATATATATTTGCACCTTGCAGGCACTGGACAAGGTGCTATGAATAAGTGTGCCTGCCTTTCCTAGGCTTGCTGTATCAAAGTAACACAAAACGACTGACCTAAAAAACAGAAGTACATTGTCTCACAGTTCTGGAATCAGAAATCATTGGCAGAGCCAATCTCCCTGGGAGACCTGGGAGAGTGAATCCTTCCTTGTCTCTT